TTTTCGATACATGACTGACGAGGCAGATATTTTCCCGCAGTAGGTTGCCATTTCTTTCTGCGGTAAACCAGTTGCCATCCAAGGCTATAGAACCCGCTCTGTCCTGCTATTTACCTATAGCTGGAGGGAGGTGGAGAAGAGGATTCATACCTTTCCCAAGCATGTAAGTGAATGTAATGGATTCGACTGGAATTCGATCTCAGCACTCCGATTTCTCTATCCAGTACTTGACCGTGCCAAAATCACTAATTTATAATTGATATGCGAATGCAATTTTTCTACCATTGCACTACAAGGTGCCTATTTTATATACTAAGCATATCTCTCGATTTGGCAGAAGGCCATCAATACGAGATCACTAGTCAAAATTTGTGTAACCACTTTGCTAGCGACTACGTTAAGTCAAGAAGTCTTTGGTTTTATGATTGGTTCTATCTATATTTGTTATGTTTAGTTAGAAGACAATTACTGTCAGAAATATAAATAAGCGCGCATATCGCTTATTCTCAGTCTGATTGGATGCGATCAATAAATGTGCTCTTGCTTTCCTTTACGATCACATTATGCTGAAAATACCAGTTAAGCATCATTGAATGTGATCAGTGCTTACAAGGATGAATATATCGTACAAATAACTTGTGGTTTTGGGCTAGACTCACTAAAGCTTAGTAAATAATATCAACTCAGAATATGGTACATCTGGTTCTAATTTGTAGTTTCGGATCTATTGAAACGTTATTAAGTAGATAACATTTTTTCTGTTGCACTTTGCGTTACAAAGAAGCCAAACCCAAGACAAATCATGTGTGGATTTAAAGAAATGTTCAATAAAAACTAGTTCAGAACTTTTCTGTTACAACTACGGTGAAGTATCACCCTCATTTCTGTTACAACCACGGAGAAAAAAACACCCTCATTTCTGTTACAATCGCAGAGAAGTATCACCCTCATTTCTGTTACAACCACGGAGAAAAGTCACCCTCATTTCTGTTACAACCACGGAAAAAGTCACCCTCATTTCTGTTACAACCACGGAGAAAAATCACCCTCATTTCATTTCTGTTATCAACCACGGAGAAAAAAAAAAGTCACCCTCATTTCTGTTACAATCGCAAGAGAAGTATTTCACCCACATTTTCTGTTACAACCACGGAGAAAAGTCACCCTCATTTCTGTTACAACTACGGTGAAGTATCACCCTCATTTCTGTTAAAACCACGGAGAAAAAAACACCCTCATTTCTGTTACAATCGCAGAGAAGTATCACCCTCATTTCTGTTACAATCGCAGAGAAGTATCACCCTCATTTCTGTTACAACCACGGAGAAAAGTCACCCTCATTTCTGTTACAACTACGGTGAAGTATCACCCTCATTTCTGTTACAACCACGGAGAAAAAAAAAACCCTCATTTCTGTTACAATCGCAGAGAAGTATCACCCTCATTTCTGTTACAACCACGGAGAAAAATCACCCTCATTTCTGTTACAACTACGGTGAAGTATCACCCTCATTTCTGTTACAACCACGGAGAAAAATCACCCTCATTTACTCCGTCTTCCAAATGTAAGCAGGAAGTAATACACAGACAGCTTTTTCCCAAGAACTGGTGGTACCTTAAACAGGCTCCCTAGTGGATACTTCCCCGATCATATTAATCTTCAACTCTAAGAGTCAAGTCAATCTTTATCCATCCTTTTTAACGGGAGGAGGCACGGTGGAGTAATGGATAGCAGCTTGGATTGAGGAATCGGAGAGCCGAGTTCGAATTCCAGTGCTAATACCCTTGGGAAAAGTGTGAATCCTCTTCTTCTCCATCCAGCTATGGGTAAATAGCAGGACAGACTGGGTTCTATAGCCTTGGATGGCAACTGGTCTCGGAGAAGGAAAACTCTGAATTCAAAACCTGCGGAGGGTCGTTTGGGAACCTTGTGGCACGTAGTGCACCAGGTCTCTGTATTCGTCCCTTCAAAAAGTTTGGATGGTCCTGCACGAAACCTTCACCGCTATAATCAAATCTCATGTGCTATACATGCGGGTTGGGGGACTGCTTGTGAATTCCAAATTCCCATGAAACTCCGATATTGGAGCCGGCTCAACCCACCCCGGGTGAATGCCGTTACAAGAACAAGAGAGAAAAGAACATCCTCTTTATCTTCATAATATCGATTTCCTACCACCTTTCCTTAATTTACGTCTCATACCACATTCACTATCGACATTTCAACTGTAAGTCTCTGCCTTGAGTGCTTCTCGTGCCTTGTATTACATTCGATTTATTTTAATTAGTCTGACAAAAACTTGTTCATCAAATTTAAAGAATTCCGTTTGAAAATAAAGTATTTGCGATACAGCACCATTTTAGTTATCACAAGCAAGCTTAACGGATTTACGGCCGCATCACGTCGAAACACCCGTTCCGCTACGATCATCAAAGTTAAGCAACTTTGACCTGGTCAGTACTTAGATGTGTGACCGCTTAGGAATATCAGGTAGGTGTAAAGGGTAATGGCTCGGAATTGTAAATCGGAGAGCCGAGTTCCAATTCCAGTTGGGTTTGTTATATTCACTTACTCGTAAATACCCTTTGGAAAGGTATGAATCCACTTATTCTCCCTCCAGCTATGGGTTAATTAGTGATACTTTTATCATTAAACAATTATTATTTCCCCCCTCTCTCCTACCAAAAAGAAATTATTAAAATCTAAAAAAAAAATATTTTCTGGCTTTAATAATCTGCAATGGTTTGATTGTTTTTAAATACATTAATTCGTTTTTTTTTTACAGCTTATCAGCTAAGCCATAAAAAACGAATTAATCTATTTAAAAACAATCAAGATTACTAAAACTGTATTTATACAAGACCCCCGTTTTAAAATAAACCAAAGAGGATTTAATTCCACAAAGAATATATTATTTTTAATGCATGCTATAAAACCTTGAAAAGAAATTATTATTTGTCCTTGAAGAGATTATTTTAAAAATGAAATCAGCTGATCGGAATAAATAAGTAGGAAGTAAATAAAAATAAATATTTACAATGAAGCTTCATTGAAAGCTTAAAATACTTATATTTGGTCGTTTTGCGTCTGTTCTTGATTTCATCGATTTTGAGATCAATTCAACTTTTTGCCTGTTACTTAATTTGTGGTACTTCTCTGTTTTTGTTGCTTTCATTCGCTTGTATAATCAAGCAACACAGACGAACTCAACGTTGTGAAATCATTCCTACATCATTGCATTTAATTTAGATCCCACCATAAGCGTTCTTACGTTCATTATGTCTTCCTACTTCTCAATCTAATGTATCCAGGCTTATGACAACATCATGTTGAAGCACCGGTTCCAGTACAGTCAGCGAGGGCTAAACAACGTCGCGCCTGATCAGGTTCCAGTACGATCAGTAAAGTTAAAACTGGTCACTAACTAGATGGGTGATGCTTGGAAATACCAAACACTGTAAGCTTCGATGTACGAGTGGTGTAATGGATAATGGCTCGGAACTGCCGAATTTTTATATGAAAACTCTTCGATAATATAATTCTGTACAAGACAAAACAAATTCTCAAATACAACGATCATTAAGGCTTGTGCGGGCATCCATTTTTTATTAGATTTTTTCCAATTTCAAATCAAAACTTTTCTTAATTCAGTATAAAAAAATAATATAGTGGCGAGTAAAAGAAATGAACCATTTTGCTAAAACTCAATTCAATAATGTTAAGTAAGAAACGATCCTGGGTATGACGATAAACTACATCCACGTCCTCGTTAAGACGAAACTTCCAACGGCAGGGACCAAGGTACTGACAGCTGTTGTGGTCCCAGCTATGAGCGAGTAGTTGGCTCCTGGATTGTGAAAGTGTAAAAATAGGTTTTAATACCAGCGATGAATATTTGAAGAAAAAATTACCGGCTCTACATTTTTGGAAAAAATATTAACAGGGATATATTTTTGAAGAAAAAATATCACCAGAAACAGATTTTTGAAGGAAAAAAAGATTACTAGCAATACATGTTTGAAAAAAAAAATATTATTAACAAAGAAAATTTTGTCGGCCTAAAATAACACATTAGGGTTTATATACCGAAAACCAAAATAAACCAAACCAAACCAATTAAGTAAGAAATTATGTTTAAATGTGTGACATTAAGAATAGTGTCTCTGGACTATAGTTCAAATTCATATGAGCTTACGGCTATAAAACATAGACACACCAAAAGTTAAGCAACGTCGAGCGTGGTCAGTACCTAGAGGATTAGCAGTGTGTGCATACAAAGTTTGGATGTGTGGGTCGTGTAATGGATAATGGCTCGAAATTGATATTCAAGCTCCAATTCCATTTGGGTTCATTATATTGACTAACGCGATAATACCATTAGGAAAGCTATGAACCCACCTGTTCTCCCCCAGCTATGGGTTAATTAGGAAAACGTGTATCACTAAACCATCATTATTATATCCCCAAAACTCCTATAATGTAAAAATATTTTCTGACTTTGAATAAACTGCAAAGTGTTGATAAGCCGTAAAAAAACAGATCAATCCGTCAATAATCTAACTAAAAGCGAGTTTTTTTTTGTATAAGTTAAAAGAGTTTTTGATTAGCTTCCATTACAATATGTCTTTGAACTGTTGGCGCCATTTATTCAAATTAATTTATTATAAGTGTTTAGCATTAACATTTTGTTCACTATTTTTCACCAAAAGAGCCACTCAAAGGTAGATAAGATTGTTGCAAAAGGCGTAAAGGGAACAGGAAGGAAGAAATAAGTGCATATTATGTGCATGTGTAGGATAGCTATTGGTTGACACTAGACTTAAAGAGTGGTAGAGAAAGCATCCTCTCGGGAGTCTGTTCCACAATGGGACTGTCCTGGGGAAGAAGCTGTGTGGGTGCGACTTCCTCCGCAACAAACGACTACGAAGGGAATGTCCACGTGGCTTGGTGCGTCTTAGGTTCTCAGTTCAATGTAGTTCGTTTGAATATTGCTATCTGTCACACCGTGGGTCAAGAACATTTGCACAGGAACCGAAGTACGGGCTGTGATGTATATCAAAAAAGGCGACAGACACACAAAGGACTGTTTTCAGAGCAGAAATAGAAAACTCTCTTGTAATAAAGGCTGCGATATCTATGTGGCATAATTGTCAACCAGACGACAAATCAGTCGTGTAAAAGAAATGATTGCTCCCTGAATATATGAACTTGAAAAATACATTCTCATGTTAAATGCCAAGACGCTGAAGAAATCGATGATTCGGAAGAAAATCAGTGAAATCAAACCGTATTGAATTAGAATGTCGTTATATCTGCAAGACCGACAAATAAATCAAACCGTAAAATTTTGGCTGCAGTGAAACAATCGATCGAGAATTTCGGAAATATATTGTCAGCAACTCTGAAAATGTGAAAGAAATGGTAGAACATAACTGAAAGCTATAGCCACCAAAAGAGTTTAGTATGTCAACTCCAAGAGAGGCAGAGATACCAAACAGCCAACAAACAGAATTGCAGCAGAATCAATTGAAATTGTCAAGGTCCTTAATCTCTAAAGCTTCTACCTATAAATGGCAGTAAAGATTGCAGTTTTTAAAATTACTTGAATTTTTGTTTGGATCAAATGACTTGGACATATGCGAGTGAAGAAAATTACTTTAATATTTGGAAATAATCCTTCTTTATGTTCATGTGCCCTCAGGGCGGAGGCGATCATGGCTTTCCATAATTTCCTGTCCTTTGTATCTCTTAATAAATGTTGTTTCTCCTAAACACTGTCTTGCCATCAATTTACTCAAGCTCACTAAGCAGGTTATGTGTTTTTTCTTCTGTCTCTCTTGTCCTCATTTTGTCCAGTGGGCATCAGATTTTCCAAGCCCTCCTTTCTCATTATGTGTGCGACAAGGAACTGCTCAGTGACCCTAAGACAACACCTGACATAAGAATGATGATAATGATAATGATGATGTGATGAAGAGGAGGGGGAGGATAAAATAATTGTAATCAAAATTAAATAAATAATAAAGTAAATAGTACATTTATATTATATTAAATATAAATATTTGTTAATATTTACCGGGTTTAAATTACTATTTCTTTCTCTACATAAATGTTTTTATAGAATTATAAATATAACATAATCAAATATAGTCTCGGTTTTAGGACAAAATAAATCTGGTATTTGCTGGAAATCGGTGATATAAAATAATTGAATAAATCAATTTATTTGAAATTAAACAAATAACAATCGGTAATTTGAATATTACGATAATTTAAGTCCCTCTGTTTCCAGAATTGTATGAACGATGGCGAAGTTACTCTGTTTATTTTGCAAAAATATATTTTTATAACGACGAAAGTATATTTTTAAAATAATTCAATAAATCAATTCATTTGAAATTAAGCAAATAATAATCGGTAATTTGAATATTACGGTAATTTAAGTCCCTCTATTTCCAGAATTATATGAACGATGGCGAAGTTACTCTGTTTATTTCATAAGATTTTTTGCGAAAATATATTTTTATAACGACGAAAGTATATTTTTATTGATTCTGAAATGTTGTCAAATTCTTAACGGACTTAATATATATTTGAATATTCAAATTTGGTTCCTACGATGAGCATTTATTTTTATTTATTTTTTATCAATCCATCCAAGCAAACAACTAAGATGCAAAGGGCTACTGTAAATGAAAGCGGTACCAGAAACCCAATCCTAAACATGAAGAAAGGAATAAACCTCTAAACCTGTTCAAACGACCAGGGAGGAGTGTGAACCGAGCGATAGGCGAACCTATCTACTCCTAATAGAATATAAATGATATGTTGTAATGATTTATTAGATTTATCCAACTCAAACAGAAACGTTTGTCGCCTGAAATTGTTACTCAAGGTCACTAAGAAGGTTATGTGGTTTTTCCTCTGTCTCTCTTGACCTTATTTTGTCCTGTGGGCATCAGATTTTCCAAGCCCTCCTTTCTCATTATGTGTTCAACAAGAAATCCTTCAGAGAGACCCAGGCATTGGCATGCAATCGAAACATATGGCAGAATCTTGTCACATGCTCATTCCTAGGTATAACGATAAACTACATCCAGCAGCAAAGTCTCTGATCGAGAGATGTGGAGTTTTTCAGGAACGTAAAACCACCTCTTAATTGACCCAGGATGGTTGTACCTGTTAGGTTTCTAGTTATGGGCAAAGTGTGAACCCCCCACAAAAAAAAAAAAAAAAAACGAAAGTATAAAATTATATTTCTATATTAAAAATACCAGCAATACATTTTATATAAAAAAAAAACGACAATACAAAACAAGCAATACATTTTATCTGTGGCTGAAGGCATAACATTGCGTTCAAAATCTATTTAGTTGAAGCCATAAAATTGTGTTCAAATTATTTAGATTTAGGCAATAAATGACCTAATGGGGTTGATATCCGCTAAACCGACCAACTAATAAAAATGAACTTTCATGACATTAATCCATATAATATTC